ACACGCGCAAACACACACACGTGCAAATACCCCTATATGGACACAAACACACACATACATACATACCTGGCATGGAAAGTGCGCCAGGACCCAGTCCGCCCACGCGCTCGGGCCGCACGTACGCGCCACGGGGTCCTCGTACGGCACACCCCGCCTGAACGACCATTCGAAGTGTTTGCGGCGCATTGCTGGGTCAGTGAGCAGCTCCATATCCGAGTCCGGGTAGGTGCAGCCGCATTGCGAGTAGCAGAGGGACACGAAGCGGCGGTTGTCCAGGGAGTGCCACCGCATACCCAGGTGGGAGGCGCAGTGGGCGATCACCCTGTTGAACTCCTGGCGAGTAGGAAGGGGGGAGGGGGGTTGGGGTAAGGAGGGGGGATGGAGGGGAAAGGGCGGGAAAAGAGGGGAGGGGGTGGAGTGCAAGGGGAGAACTTGTCGTGAATCAAACAATGGGCAAAGGGGACATTTAGCGATGCCGTACGATACTGTACGACATCTGATGCCACACCAGAGTGCGGTGTTCGTTGCATGTAGCTGCGGGGTTAACCGCCAGACCACCCCCGCCCGAACGAACTTGGGGGCGAAAATCAGTTGTTTGCTTGAGGTGACTAGAGGTGACAGGTTGCCAGGAACAGAACGGAAAGGAAAGCGTTTTTTCGCCTCAAAAATGGAAGCGTTTTGATTTGCACTTCCCTTATGATTTTCGCGTGGAGTTCCTCCCCCTAGCGCCCCTCCCCTCTCCCCTCCCCTCTTCCCCCCTAGCGCCGTCATTCTTTCCCCCTCTCCCCCTCTCGCCGCACCTCCTGGTCCCACAGCAGGGGGTTGTCCATGTGTACGACCATGGATGCAAACCACCTCTCCACACAGCGCACCACGGGGCCGTCAGACCGGGCCACCACCACCCCGATGTTCTGGTTGGGGAACCGAGCCTTGCCCAGCTGCAGCTGCATGAAGGGGTCCACCACCTAGGAGGGGAGGGAGGGGAGGGGAGGGGAGGGGAGGGAGGGGAGGGAGGGGAGGGAGGGGAGGCGCGTCTCTTAGTCCCTGACAAAACCCACATCTACACCCGCACCCACACATTCCCACACCCACCTCGCATCTCTCCGTGAGCGCCGCCACCTGGGCCCTCTGCTGCAATATGAAGGGAAGCGGGGACTTGAGAACCAGCACGTCCGCATCCTGACAGGGGGGGGATGGGGGGGATTCGGGAGGGCAGGAGGGGGAAATATATGCAAAAGGCCGGTACGACGTAACTTACCACTGCCATCACGTCGTACCCTAGGGAAAGCGCGTCGTACAGGTACTTGATTTTGGCGTACCCCAGCGCATTGAATTCGGGAGAGTGGAAGGCGGACATGTTGCTTGAGCCCTCACTATGTAGCTCATGAAGCTCTTGCTGCGTACGACAACCATGTACGGCAAAATTGTACAGCTGAGATAATGCAAGGTGCTGTGACAACCAAGGAAGCCATGCAAGATATTTCATTCTTGCTACCGAGCCATTTAAGTTATGTAATATTATGTAATATTATTATGTAATATTATTATGTAATATTATTATGTAATATTATTATGTAATATTATTATGTAATATATGTATGTGTGATATGTGGGACAGAGGGGGGTCATATCTTCACCCTGCGGCCGGTACCCGGCAGACCCTGCCTTCCCCGGTATTTCGGGGCGCCCTCATCCAGTCACCATAGTCACTTCTCAGTGGATCGCTCAGGTTCCGCACCCACCGCCGGCATCCAACGGAATCTGCCGGATCGACGGCGGCTCAACTCCAATCCTGGTCAACTCGCAGGACAATTTAATCCCAGGTCACCACCGTCCATCACCTAGGGGCACCTTTACCTTCCACCATCGGAAGGGTTCCCGACCCTGACGGGCCTCGATCCCGGAACCTCCGGGGGTATTAGTACGTGCTCTACCAGTATATCCTGACCTTTGAAATGCACGTATAGTATTGTATTTATGTCGTGCATATGGACATTGTACGTCCATTTCTGTCGATGTATGAAGTGCGTACGTGCGTGTATATATTGTAGGTGTGTGAAGCTAGCCCCATCTACCCCCGCATACCCCCCTTTTCCCCCTTTCCCTGTTTCCATCCAATCAACCCCCTACCCCCCCCCTCCCTACTGCTGCCCCTCCCGCCCCCCCATCCCCCGCCCTGGCCCTCCAAACCCCCCTCACCCGCACGCAGTGGTGTCCAAACAACTCTTTCCGCCGCAGCCTCTCACAAGCCACGTAGCCGCCTAAATCCCAGGTGACTACCACCAGCAAACTGCTCAGAGCACGACCACTCAAGCCATCGCCACCGCCGCCACCGCTGTGGCTGTCGCCGCTGTCGCCTCCCCTCGCGTCATCACCCCCCTCCTTGGGCCCCCTCAGCCGCCGCCGCGTCCTGCCCTCACCGCCACTGCCCTCCCCCGCCAGCTGCTGCCCGGTGGGGTCGCTCCAGGAGGGGTCCAGGGAGGCCCCCATCTCCCGGAGGCCCTGCTCCAGGGGCAGCCGGCCTAGGGCCTTGAGGGTGATGGGAAGCACCTTCTCAGCCACCCTTGGGGTCGGGTTGGGGGTCGGGTGGGGGGGCACGTGTGTGTGGGCAGGAGAGGTTTCGGAGCGGGCCGGATGCGTGGGAGGGCAGGGGGAGGTGGGGTGGGTCAGGGTTGTTCGTTCCCGCGGCCGTCGCGACTCCAAGGCCATTTCGGGGTGCTGTACGGCTGTGGAATGGGAAGTAGGTGATGGTAAGACAACTCAGGGAAACCTAGTGACCTTACAATTTATCCGCCATGGTCGTGAACACCCATTTGCGTCGCTCGCCGCCATATTGTATGGTCACAGCAGCGTCCTGGAGGGCGCCGCGAAACCATGCGCTCGGGATACTCACGCCGAGATGGTCAGCGTTGGCTTTCACGGCAGCCCTGGTAAAAATTGTGGCTGGATTTACTGTTCCATTATCTGGATTGCAATCGCTGTTTATTAAAGGTATGCCGGCCGATGGCCCAGGCCGAAGGACTATTAAACCAACGATAAGGAAGAACCATATGGGCGATTGGATTTTACATAAAGCTTGTGTCCCCATTTATATTTGTTCCTTCTGGGCTCTGCCTGCCAGCTACCCGGGCCGGTGTTTCTGGGCTTTAACATAAGACGGCCGCGATTAACATGTCAGGAACAGATTTTTATCACTATCAATGCCTACCTAAGCATTTTTGCTGAACCTGGAGGGAGTACGGAAGAGGACTATAGTAACTGTAGCTGGAAAGTTTTAGGGTACATGGCCAGATAGCTCGACTCCCAAGGCCAGCGGAAAAGCAGAGGGAAGCGTCATCTTAGCGGGAGCACAGAACTTCAGCCAAAATCGCAGAGACCCGGGGGTCCAAATTCACGCTTCCTTGTCTACCACCGCGGTCTACAGCGTAAGGAAAACCTGGACTCTGTCGCTGTTCCAAAGTCCGTCGTCATCCGTCCCGTACCGAGTCGTTGGTCTCGGAGCTCTGGTAAACCTTCGGGAAATGTAGGCCGCTGCAAATTGTCAATCATCCGACATGGCCATGGGGAATCCAGCGCGATGCAACGCTTCGTAACCACCTCCATGGACGACTGTCCTGCGGAAAGGCTGGGGCCCGGAGTGGCCTGCGCTGCTTCTACAGAAGACGGAATAAGCTAACAGCGCAGGGAAGATTTGAAATCGACTCGCCAGCAATAAGGAGATTGACGAGGCCTCAGGCCGCAGCAGCAAAAGCGGCAGCAGTGTGACAGCCACAAATTGCGCCGAGCCGATGCCTGTGCAGTGTCTTCCTGCGTGTCGCCACTTCCTTCATCTCGTACGGGCATCGGCTGACGCCTTAAACGCGAGTGTGGGATAGAGAGTGTCAAAACTTACAGTGCCATGCCCAGCTGTCGGATGTCTGAGTATGTCGGCTATCCGGAGGGCCATCGTGGCATCCTGGGCAGCTAGCGTGAATACTGATGTCTTTGTTATTTGCGAAAACTTGTTAAACCTAAGCCTCTCTTTCTCGCTCGGTCCCTTGGCTACCAAACCCTAAACCGTCAGGGCTTCCGGCCTGCGGGAGATACATGCATTCCGATAACCATGACTTGCATTCATAACCTGCACCGTCTATTTTCATGCGATCATCATGGTACTGAGCGCACTGCGTCGTTGGGTATATTTCCGTTGGAACGATGGCGACTTGCGCGTATTACCGTTAGCACGACCCGCGACGCGTACCGTATTTCGCGTAAGGAACAGTTGATCAACATGTTGTCCGTCAATTATGGTTTGTTACAGTTCCAGAAGCTGAAGCTGATCCTGGATAACTGGATTAGGTGGCAAGTCGGAAGGCAAGGCCATGCTGAATCAAGTTTCTCAACGCCGTGCCACAGTACAGGCAAGGGCTTTCCAGCCCTCATTTGCTCGCTCTTGTAATCGGCTTAAGCTAGCTGCCGTAGCAGCTACTGAAGCGCCTGTGGCTTCGACCTCTGCGCCATCGACTGAGGCGCCCAGCTTCCGCGCGAACCTTGACTTCAAGTTCATTAAGGAGAACGTAGAGCTAGTTGCAACAAACTGCAAAAATCGTTTCAGCAGTGCCGACCCACATAAGGTCGTCGCCCTATACGATGAGTTTGTGGCGCTGAAGACGCAAGCCGACAGCTTGCGCGCGGAGAGAAATGAAAATAGCAACGCCATGAAGGTATGCTGTTTGACCCATGAACCAGCTAGATATTTTGATGCATCATGGTGGAACAGCTCGCACCTCGGTACTGGGCCCGCCATGCCGCAACCCTCCCAACCCCGGACTAAGTGCAGTCCTAGTGCTTATCCTTCCCTTCGAACCCGCGACGGCTCCTTCGCTACACACCCAAATACTAATTACAGGGCAAGCTGGATGCCGAGAAGCGAGCTGCCCTGATCGCTCGGGGGCAGCAGCTCAAGGACCAGCTCGCGGAGGTGGAGGAGCTCCTCACCAGGGTGAGGGCGGGTGGATGGCAGCACGGGGCTGGGAGGGAGGTGGGGGTGTGTGTGGGGGGGGAGTGGGGTTACGGTATGGAGCCGATCGGCGCGGCTGCGGATGCTGGGGCGCTGATGCTGTGGGGGAGGGAGACGAAGGGAGAGAGTGGGGTTGTCTGTGTGTACGTATGTATGTACGTAAATGTGTCATTCACTGTCCCACACCTTCAGTCGCGCATTGCCTGTGTTGCGCCCCTCCAATCCCCCTCACCCCGCACCTTTCTATTTTGGGTTCCGACCCTGCTATGGGGCCCCTCCGGTTGACACCCCTCCGTACGGCCCCCCCTTACCCCCCCCCCCCGTTTCCCCTCCCCCCTGCGCAGGTGGAGTCCTCCCTGCATCCTGAGGGCCAGCGGGAGCCCAACCTCACCCACCCTGATGTGCCGCTGGAGAGGGAGGAGGCT